TCCTCGTGACCAACGCGACTTCTGTTTGCCGCGCTTTTCCGTTCGAGTATCTCGACTGAGAATCAAAGGCGGTCCATGAGTAATGGCTCGCGGTCGCGGCTCGTTGACCCATCCAATGCGACAGGCCGTTTAACCATCGGCTATATGTTAGAGTTAAGTATTATATCGGGACGAATCTCGCTATTTTATTTGTTAATAACACTGCCCCCGGTGGAGTTAACGTGGGAAGATCGGCTAATGACTAAGGGAGCACGTTAAAGCGAGGTCAGAATTGCGGCGAACAAAAAGGAGAATTTCCTTTTACCATTTGCGTCGGATCGCAGGGAATATCAGACCACGGAGTTTTGTGCAACGCAACGAAAGCGCAAAGAAACGCGACCGCGTGGAATCACAACGAGCCATTCACGGGAATATTGTCCCAGCAATTAGCCTCTGTTCGTCGGCCGCCTGTTCAAAGTGTTACGGGCCGTTCGCTCGGTTTCTTCTCGTAATTGTGAGCACACCTTGCGCCGTCACCTTGAAACGGTAACGTCACCTATGAACCGGCGTGATCCCTCGCGGTGAGAGAAAAGAAGGACCGGAGCTGAGGATGACGAAACTCGCGTTCTACGTCCGTGATCGTTATGACTAGCGTGCGTGAATCATCGCCAGGCAATCAAGCGCATAGGGCTCGATCGAAGTACCGAACAATAAAAATGGGTAAAAATAAAACTAGCTTCGAATCTATTTGGATTTAAGCTAAATTAAGTAAAGTAATTAAGTAAAGTAGTTGCATCAACTTAAGCGAAGGTATTAATTTAATATTTACACTTACCGGTGTGAGTTCTCTTGTGAGCTTTCAGGTGAGAACTCTTCGTGTACACTTTGTCGCAGCCCGCCACGTCGCATCGGTGAACTTTGCGTCTCTTCAACGCGTCGCCGCATTCGTTGTCCACCGCTAAACTACCGCCGTTTCCTCCAACACCGGCGTTTACTCTGCCGCCGATTCCTAACCCACTCGCGAGCGCGGGACGCTTGTGAAACACCCTGAAATTTCAAACAGACACCTTCAGATATATTTACGATCAACTTTGATTTAATTCGATAAAACAAGTGCCTTTCGAAAGAAGAAGAAGAAGAAACGAAAAGATTCTTTCGTAAAAATAATCCTGGCCAATTACGCAACACGCGAAACAATCGAAACCGAGTTTGACAGCGCATGACCACCTTTTAGCAGCGTATCGTTGTTCGATTCACCGAACTATGTCCGATTCCCGCAGCGACGCTGATTACGACGAGCGAAAGGGCGACAAGAAATTCGAGGAACAGTCGCCCGCCGTGATTTCAATTCAGATATGGATAAGACGTCTTCATCGTTATTTTATCTTACCTGCGTACGACTATCGACCAACCATCGTACTTTATTTCTCGTTCGTCGACGGGGAGATTCCGACAGATCCGGCCGCATTCACCATGGATTTATACAGAAAGTTTTTGGTATGCATTATTCATTGATCGATGTGTTCCGATGCGTTATGACCGGTTCGAACGAAGAACGAGTGAAATTGCTTGCGACGTGAAACGATCACGGAACAAATACGTCGGTGTACACACATTAGAGAAAAAGAATTTGCCTTATGAATAACACCACGAGCTGTGGCCGCTGGTGTGGAGGAGGGAAAGAAGCGACGGTCATTACGTTAATCTGCGCGATTACATGGAAGCGTACGCAGAGCAACAGAACGGTTGGTCGCAGATCTTTTAACGGGATGTACGAGTTACACGGTCGTATTAAAAGAGCTGTCAATCAGCCACATATATTTTCTCAAGTGCTCGAGTGACGACCTGTGATTTTCCATAACGGATTCATAGATTTCGAAGTATGTAATAATCGGTTGTTATCGATGGATGACCAGATAGTAACTTTCCAGTAACCAGTAACTTTCGTGAGAATTCGAAGATAACGAAGGCGAAAATGTTTAAATCCTTATTCTTCGCTGTATAGGTAGAGAAACGTGAAGTTGAAATATGAATTAATAGAAGGAATTTTGATTCGATAGAATTGTTTAAACGAAAACTTTTAAGTAGGTTTCGTTGCGAATATGGTTCAAGTAGTAATCGCAGCGATAGTTACGTAATTGTATCAAGTCTCTTTATTAAGTTTCTTTTCAAAGCCTTGATATCGTACGTAAGCCTGTAGTGGCGCGTACACTTTAAATGCATTCATAAATCACAAGCCCCTTCGTCGAAACGTGGTCCATTTTGCACTCCATTCCCATGCATATTCATGAATTATTTGTCCATTATACCGTGGCCAATGGGGGTAAACGTTGATATTCCATTATCGTTTGCAATCGGCTCGCAATTTACGCGGCAGTTTATTATAATTTTAAAGCACTTAGATCATCGAGTAACTAATCATAAAAGCACATTGAAACTTCCGTGCGTTCATTTTAAAAGTAGCGAAATGATACGTAATGCTCCTGTCAAGTTTATTCGGGAACTATAACTTTTGTAATTATTTTCTTTCTATTTGCTTGTAAACCTTAATTGTTTTTATATGATAAATATGTATATTCTCATTGTAAAAAGGAACAAATGAAAACTAAATAAATACGAGATAAATTAGAACTGTAGAAACAGGCTAATTGCTGTAGATCTTCTCGTTAAGCAATGATAATCGTTCTACGACTCTGGAATCACCTCTTCTTATCGATTCAAGATGTCGAATCGATCAATCTTGCGAGTCGACACCCGGCGAAACTTGTTTCGCAGCCAAATTCGTACTTACGCTCAATTGTCTCGCCTAATCGATCGTCGCGGCTAACTGTTAAAAAGATAATTTAAAGTATCTCACAATTTTATTTGATTTGATCAAGCAACTTGCTCAAGACAGTGAAACGATACCGTTCTCGGAACTTTAACATCGATGCGGAAATGTATCTATAAAATTTCTATGAAAAATTACAAATTGATCTTTTTGAAAGCTGGTCTGATATTTCTAGTATCAAGCGATCGTATTTCAGAATCGGTACTAGTCCACGTGTGAAGAATTTACGTTGACGCGTTTCTATCCTCGAAACCATGTGGAATTCGCGTTTCACGTTAACTGGATAAAACGGCACCAGTGGTACCACTGACGCATCCCTGGCCAGACCATATTTCATCGGGACGAAGCCTGGCCTCGCACGCTTCGTGCCGTAAACCAGACCCGCAGCTCGCTGTTTAAACTGGCATAAATCTGCTTCTACTCGCGATAATCCGACTCGCTTCTATCCCGACAATCCTCCCGCTGCCGGAGAACAAAACCCTCTCGCACGATTTTCCGATTTTCACGACCTCGACCTGCGTTTATGGCTTTATTCTTTCAAACACAGCTATGAGGTGTTTCTGATGGTTTCGCACCTAGAACGATCGCGTAATTTCATGGACGATACATAGTGGGATATTATTTTTAAGCCGCGTCGGATATTTTATACTTGCGGTATTTATTCACACAACGTAAATATTATACGAACCGTAAACATAGCTCGGGACTTTTCTGAGATTTGAAATTGGATTTCTAGATTGAAAGAAAATTGGGAATTATTTATTACATCAACGTAGAAATAAACGCTCTAAACAAAGTTGTATAGAGAGGAGAGATGCTAAAAAAGATTAATCACGAGATGAAAATAAGCGGTCTTCTTCTGTAAGTGAAATTTAAATAAAACTAGGGAAGGGAATTAAAATAGTTCTTATGATTATTTCGGGACTAAAAGCCAAGAACTGGGATCTTGGATGAGAGTAAAAATAATTTCTAACTTCCGATCAATTTAAGGTAGATTTGATGTGATTTATTGGACAACTGACTAAATAACGTCTCCTCGTTGTCGGAATAAATACTCAAAATCAACTCCACCTTTAACACTGAGTGGACTATAACTAGCGCATTCAGGTATATATATATATTAGGTATATATATATATGATATATATATACCTGATATATATATATATGATATATATATCATATGCTATATCAATTTTAGTATATCAAATACTAGTCGAAAAATCACTAACAGTGAAGCTGTCTTGAACCTTCTCCAAATAATTTAATCTGGTTGAGTTTGGATTACATTGATAGTGTAAGATACTGTTTACGATACTGCAATAGTCGAAATAATTAAGGAATTATCAGCAATAGATCACATTCGCGTTAACACGTTCAGAAACCGCCGCGTCGTAAACTCGTAGCATAGCTCTTTCTTCGTGATAATTAATATGCCCATAGTTCCCGACGACAATACAGAATCCAGGCGGCAATTTATTCCGCGATAATTCCATCAGCTTCCTCGGCGTCGAAATCTCCTGCACTGCGTGTACAGGAGGACTACCAAATGGATCATTGTTTCGAAGACGAAGCCGTAACCGCGTGGTTCGCTGGAAAGGCGAAGGAGGAACTGGAAAGTACATTTGTCGTGAAGTATTGCTGTAAGCTTGCGGCAGTTCCTCCGCAGGAGGGCCCTGACATGCGGGTACCGATGTACAACGGTGCGTGTACACGTGCGTACCTGGCTCGCGTATGGAAGTCGCCAGCGTGCACGTACATCCAGACGGAAACAGACAACGAACCAACCGGTGGAGATTTATGAGAAACGTAAAGTATAACTATCGGTTAACGGCATTGGGACACGAGAAGACAGGCCTCGATCCGTGATACTGGTGACGATTTCACGGTACGCGTGATCTACGGACACGATCCGCGGGTACCATTATTGGCATCGATCTGTCCAAAGGGGCGAAACAACGTAAATTCACAGTTATATCAACTGTTGGTTACGGTGACAAGAGTTAAAGTCGGAATAAATGTACTATATAACCATATAAGTCCACATTTGCGAGCATGAAATGTTTCCGTAAACGAAACGAGAAGGAACGACAGCAAAGTTAGCCTAAGGACTTCGAGGGCCGTTCAGAAGCTCTAATAAAGTCATTGACACCGAAGCAAGGATCAAGAGGCGAATTCCAAGATAGGAGGATAGACAGACCGTTATGTCATCGTCCGTCATCGTGGCACTGAGAGACGAGGTAAAATTATTATTCACAACGATCCGCGAGACTCGTCATCCAGTTGGTACAGACGTACACACGTTGGAAAGAAATCGTGACGCTCTGTATGAAATGAGGTTTGTTAGCGTGCACCCGGGTGTCACGAGATTACTATGTTTTCTAACGTCGGGTCTTTTCGCCGAGATCGGGCACAGAACGCTCGCTTGACAATGGAAAAGACACTCGCGAGCGCACGAGAGCAAATTAAACGAGATTTACAGCGGGTGCACGATCTCGTCCTATTAACCCTGGACGTGCTTGTACATTCGATGAAATATGACGGCACGTAACCATCGCATCGGCGCGGCGACCGACCGGCCGCGATATCCTGCTGTTTTCGACCGATTGTAAACTGATAATAAAGTCAGCCCTGGCTAGCCGGATGGCAGCCTATGTAAATCCTTTGTCGACTCCATTCAATGGCGTAATTGACGCTTACGTTAGATTCTCAATCTATTCTACTCCGAACTGTCACGTATTTAAGGACTATTACCGATTTCTATGAAGCTTCGTAAATGTACAGTGTGCGCAGACGTTCTTACGATCCGAGAAAAGATAGTAAATATCGCAACGTAATCTTTCCACTGGAATATAAAATTTGATCGGAACGCTTAATTTGCTTCAAACGCGATACGGTCGACAATGTTGCTTCTAGGAATAAGCCAGCAGTTGTATACTCCGAGTTCTATTTTCTTCGATAATAGAGCACATCCTGTTACTCGTTTATAAGAAGAAAAAAGCGTACGTACGAAGGTGTATGCGCCCCCTGCTACACATCTGTCAAGAGCGTGGTAAAAATCGGCTCGTTCGCCGCGGTTACCGCGATACGATCGGTAAAAGTACTTACAGGGACGTTTCCTTTATCCTCTGTAACGCGAGTAGGGCCGCCGAGGGGGAAACGAAGACAGGATCGAGCGGTTCCATCATGCGGACCGACACGTCCCGCTCTCTGTCCCTTTCCCTGTCCCTTTGCCTCTCCCTATCGCGATCCCGTTCCTTTTCTCGATCCCGCGGCTCCCTCTCTCTGATCCCTGATTCTCTTTCTTGCTGCCGTTCCCTGTGCTCGTTCTCTGTGCTCCTCTCTCGCACCCTCTCGCGCTCTCGTTCCCGGTTTCTCTCCCACGCTGTTTCTCCCAGAGGCGGCAAAGGCGGCGACACTGTAAGAAAAAAAAGAACGATGGAATATTAATTAACCGGCCACTGGCGCAACATCGAACAACCTGAAACACTGGCAACCTTATAAACTCATTTATTTAAGAGTATTTCGTCATTTCATCGAGCTTTATGTACACGAAACGTCCAATGGATCGTTAATTCATTGGCCGACGCATAAATGTGGAAAATAGCTCGAGTTCGTTAGTGTTGCCCGTTAATTACTATATTTCGTGGAATCGTAGATTATCCAGCGAGTGACATATATGGTTCTAAGGAAACGATACCACTTTCAGTCAGAGAATAAAAGCACGCGTTTGGTATAGGATACCGCTCGGAGCTGTCGGATGCATCGAACGATCGAGGAAAACAACCAGTCGGCCGTTATTAACGCCAGTTTTTTTCCACTTGTATATTTTATTTAAACGTGCGATTTATGCCGACGTGCCTCGGCACCCGTGCAACATTGTCGTAAATCTTCCGTTATAAACTCTGCTAATCTACAAGCCACGGGTTGCGGGCAATGTTTCCCGGGGTTGAAAGGAAATTTAGCTGAAAGTTCAATCGTTTCACAGGCCTACCGCGAACTACCTGCCGCAAAAACCGCGCTAATTACGATTGCTGCTACTTTTTGTCGCAACCCGTGTTTTATCTACCATCTATACTTTTCTTCTCGCCTTCCTTCTTGACCTAGCTCCACGAGCGTCTTTTATCTTTCCTCATCCCTTTTTCCCCTCTCCTCTTCGATCTATTTCTACTCACTTTTCTTCTCCTGCTTTGCTTCAGAACTAACTTTCACTCCCCATCGATTCTCTCTCGACCGCTCACCCACGTGGCCACATGCAAACTCGTCCGTGACATTACTGTTACTAATTAATACACAGCGAGGCCAATAGATTCGCGATCGATCGACGCTGCAATCTGGCTTGGAACGAGTGTGGAATATTGACACGGTGGTTTAACTTTTGACCGTGGTTCGTTGCTATCTGCGCGTCTTTCATTCGATTATCGAAGTCGCCGTTTCGATCGCCGCGTAATCGATGTAAAATTGTAATTTCCAAGGCTTACCTCGTTACGTGGTAATTGCTCGTTTGCTGGTAAATGCCGGTAATTAGTGCTGCGTAATTTCGAGTACACGAAATCGCCGCGGTATCGTTACTCGTTACTCGCAATTTGTTCCGAAGAGAAAAAGTTCGCCTCCACGATCGGACACCATCGAACACGAGCAACATCAAGGTGGATTAACGCGGCTAAATGGCTGCTGCTATGTGTTTCTGTATGAGGCGTTTTACAATTTAATCAAGCTTCTTCTTTTCCCCTCCATTTCGATCTTTTTTTCTTCCATCGCTATTCACGTTGTTGCCCCTTTCTCGATCCAACCACGTACTCGTACCTCCTACTTATTTCCAACGTGGTTAGCTTTATTTCATTAATTCGAGAAAGAAAGGAGCAAAAAAGAATTGAGAAATATTAATTATGATGAATTTTCTTCGAACAAATTATTTCAAACGCATTTAATACCAAAGTTCAGGGATCGACGTTCACCCCCTTCGGCTAAAAGCTACCAAGAACGATCGTACTCATATCGTTGACCTTTTACCTTATGCGATGCGCCGTAAATATTTCTTGGACACTTTTCTTGATTCCAAAATAATCACCAATGATAGCCAATCGAGCGTCCCGCTGAAATTAATGCCGCGACAAGTAGTATTCTATCGTATTTAGAATCCGCGTAGCACGAATGTATACATCTTACACGGAAGGAGCAGATCCATGTTCACCGACGGACGTTTTATGTTCTCGAAATCTTGTTCCTGGCGTAAAAATTTCGCTAGAGAATTCGATAAAGTCGCACAAGTCACGGGACGCGTGTACGCAATTCGACGGAGCACGGATGTATCGGGAAACCGGTTTCATTTGTCGTTTACCCGGTGGCTGACTCGAGAAAAAACGCAGAATACTTTAAACGATACTACCGACTATCGTAAAGTTTCAAATTTTATATTTTTTAATCGACGGCAATCTCTTTATATAGTTCGGTCCTCGATTTCGATCTTTTCATAAGATAGACCACTTTGGTTTCCTGGTTCTCGTAGAGATGAAGAAACCCGTGCGAGATAACGGGATTAAGAGGTAATCGATTTCGTTCGGTGGGAGAGACACGACGTGTTCGCGGCAGAGCGCGCGGTACAACGCGGAATATTGCGTAACGCACGCACGCACGCGAGTCCCTATCGTTGTTCGCCGTGAATCAACGACCTGGAGATTTATGCAAACGGCCGTTGTGGTTGCTCTGGTGCACGCCAGCTGGCCAGAAACGCGTTCGACCGAAGATGCATGAGTGGAAAACGAACGCGAACCCGTGTGCCCCCGCCTATGTTTCGTTGGTTTGATGGATCGTGGCGGAGATTGATTTTTAATTGAATCGCAGCCTCGTATTTCAGCTGACCGACCTTTGAATTCGAGACGTCGTAAATATTGGGATTGACACAGCACGCACGCCTCGCCGTGCCGCGCTCCAAAGTCGTTTCCCTTTTAGTATTCGAGAAGTCGCGAGTTACCGAGTCGAAAACGTCCAAGATGTTCTCGCGATAAGCGAATTAATCATTATAATCGCGTTACGCTCCCAGCGTAATACGTTCCTTTCGAAAGTTGCGGTCGTCTGTTCGATACGAGTAATAACGATGATCGTAATGCATGGCGGACGCGCGTTTCCAGGAACGTTTTTTCCGTGGTCCTGGAATTCAGCACGGAAAATTTTAGTATAAAAGTCAGCGTTACAGATACCATCTCCTGCCCTCGTGTTCTCCAGCCCTTATCGCTAGGGGAATCTCGGAAGAAGACTACGGCCAGGCCGATCGTCCAATCGTATCGAGGAATCATTATGAATACAGTCGGTCGAGCTCGGAACGTGTACTCGCGCTAGCGAGCGCCACCATGGTATTATTAACTGTAATTTCTGTACGTTGCCAGTACGGGCGGTTTCGCTTAATTAGCTTCTGCTTCGGACACTTCTTCCCCCACCGATACGCCAGCTATTTCTCCCTCTCTGAATCTCTGTGTTCTGGACGTCTCGTTAGGGTTATTAACTCTTGCCGTGGCTCTGCTCGAGGTCTATGATCTTTGGTATCTAATGGAGCACGAAGTCGTCAGAACTTTCTGACAGCGCTTGTCTAGCTCTTTAACCCGTGTCCGATTCTTCCTGCTTCGTTGTCCTTCTTCCAATCGTTACGTGCCGTCGTTCCTTAGTCAAAGTCGTGATAAGATGCCGCATCACACAACATTACTTCGCGTGTCGTTCTCTTGCCCTGGAGAAAATTTTTGAAAGAATCCTGAACCTTCTGAAAAATCGTTGGAAAATCTTCCTCTATCCTATACAGAACGTCTCCCTCGATACAAACTTTGCTCTTCTTCTATCGCCTATGCCGAGTTAACCCCGAGCATTAGCGGTAATAACGCGGTTTTATCACGTCTCGCCTTCGTATTCGTTGCATCTTCCCACCCTTCTCCGCGTCTTCGTTACTCCACGTTTTCCTCTTGCTTCCTTCCCTTGCACCTTTCTCTCGAGCGCACACGTTTCAAAGACTTTCATGACCCGGCGAGTCTACAGTCAAGGGGGTAATTGATAATGTTAAACGCGGGGTTAATCCGCCGATTTATGGGCAGAGTTTGTACCGTGGATTTTTCGAATTTGCCAAATTGAGGGATAATAGGCGGACATTAATGCCCTGCTGCCAGCAATCGAACAGAGCGAGGCGGTAAAGAGAGATAAGTGGAAATCGCCGGTGGCGAACAAACCGTATTCGATTAATTCACTGGCAAAATCGCTTCACAACTTCGTAGTCGTAGTCTGGAAAATTAATGCAATCGTTCGAACAGGAATTGCCACCGTACTACCACCGTTTAATTTTCACAACTTCGTGAAAATCACTCATCGGAAGCTTGTATACGTTCAAATGCAGCAAGTGGCGTCGGTTCCGCAATTTTCCATTTTTTTTTTTTTTAATCACTTTTTTTATCCCTGTGCTGTCTCGAATGTCATCTTTTGAGCGACGAACGGCGCCAAAACCTTCCACATACGAGACCTTGCGTTACGAGATCTTTATCGCGCCTTTCTAAAATGATCAACTAGAAAATTCATCAATCCCCGGAGGTGGTCAGGTCGAGGCTATCGGAAATGCTATCAGCAGGAAGCGTTCCGCCATCATTTACGCGAATTCAAAGCGGCAAAGACAGCGGCACAATGGCCAGCTGATTGACAATCATTAAACGCGCTTCGATCAATTAATCAATATTAATTACGGAAAAAAGTGGTGCTCGTATTGAAATGATAACCCGGTGTTCGAGTTCAGCCCGGTTCCGTCCAATGATGAATCGTGTTTCGTTCGCGGTAACCTGTCGTGCAGCATCATCGATTATCATATATTGTACGATCAGCCGGACGTAAGCCGTGGTGCACGGAGAAATATGCGCGGACCGTTCTCTTGAATACGCGTGCACGAATACGAGCTAGGTGGGTGGACATGCCACCCGCATCGCGGAACTCGTTAGACGCGAGTTTTCAATTAAGTTTCCGGTTTCGCGCGGCAAAACGGAGATTAGCCGATGACCCCTCTTGTACCAATTAATCGTAGATTAAGATTTTTTTCACCGGGCTGCTTTCGAATTTATCGACGTTCTCTCACGCGCGGACGCGCAGTGAAGTTTACGATAAAATTAAATTTAGCCCATCTGCGTAGCAAACACCTTGTCAACGGTAATAGCGCGATTAACTTGGCGTGTATCTGGAGAAATATGTCTGGACGAACATCAGATTGTTCGAAAAGTTCGTAGCGTTTGTGACGATTCAGATAACAACAATAGGTTCCATTATATATTTAACTCGAGTGAAAGAAGATCGCTTATAACGACTGTGTGACAAATAAGAAAATGTGCACGATACAAATAAAAATTGTTCCTAATTTAAAAGAGAGTCATTTAGAAATTATCTGTAATGAGAGTGTCG